TATCATTATTATATTCCATTTAGAATATTCTATGACATCATAAATGAAATTTTCAAGTGCAATGTTTCATTAACGTAACTGAAACATAATAAAATAATGTAACTTTTATCTCGCATTCATAATATTTCTGTCACATGTCATGTACAATATTGTATTTGAAATATTTCTACAATGGTGCTGAAAAATTCTAATTAGTTATCATTACATTAAATTGCATTTAGAACATTTTTGCAACATCGCAAAATAAATTTTAAGTGCAATGTTTCTGAAACATAGTAAAGTTATGTAATTGTTACATTGCATGCATAATATTTCTGCTACATTTTATGTACAATATTATATTTACAATATTTGTACAATGTTGCATAAAGATTCCAAGTTATAATAACACTGAATTGCATTTTGAATATTTCTGCAACATCGCTAATGAAATTTTGTAACGTTATTTGCGTTCGGTGCGGGATATGCTGCGAGTCGGTGCAGTCCAGATTCGTGGCAGATGAAATAAAGGTAAAGACAGTGGTAAAGGTATTAATATGATATCAATTCTAACTCAATATGTATAATGCATTACAAGATGTCTCGACGCCGTTGGTTTAATGATGGAGTTTTTACTCGTCGTGCGAGTCTGTTGATGTTTGCTGCTGACGGTTCAAAAACGCCGAAACAGCGGTTCCGGGGCCGTTGGCGGCCGCGGGACGCGGTCGCTGTTGTGACGCGTCGATTGTCTCGCGCTCGCGGCGAGATGTTTATCCTTGGATCTTTAACCCTTTGGGGACGAGTGTCGGCATATAGCCGCCCAAGCCGTTTTACCGTTCCGGACGCGTGTCGGCATATAGCCGCCCAAATTAGTTCGTAGCTGCAAGGCTCGCGACGTCTGTCGTTCTGAACGATAAGATACGCATAGGTATAGTAAAAGAGTCACGTTTTCATTCAAAGACATTAGGGGCCATTAGCGATGAAGTCTTATCTTCCTTATAGCCCGTCGAGCGGCTCCGTCCCCAAAGGGTTAAATCTTATCGCGGCGAGATTTGTTATTCGGTGAGAGGTTGACAATGCTCTAAATGTGTAATGCCGTGCAGCGGTCGATCTGTCACGGTTTAGCGTTGCCCGCGCTTATTTAGCGGGTGCAGTATCGCGGTCTCAGGGCACTGCAGAGCCTTGCCTCGGTAAGAGGTGAATAATTCGCCACAAGGCGACTACGGTCTGGCGACTCCTCGAACGCGTTGGTACGCTCTCGAGCGATACCTTATGACGTCGAGTTGCGCGGAGGCGATTCCCGACGATTCGGAGTTCGTCGGGCGGTCGAGCGGTGTCTCGGATGTAGACCTTTCATATCTGACAGGTCCACGCAGATGTCGACTCTACGAATCGACGGAGCGGTATTATGGATGTAGACTTTACATATTTAATAAGTCTACGAGGATATCGACTCAATGAGTCGGCGAAGCGGTAGTAAGGGGGAGCGGTGCACTTGGACACGGTGCATTTGGACACAGCCAATCACAGCACCGTATGATTAGATACATTTGTAGGGTCCCTTGGAACAGCGACTTGTGATTGGACTGTGTCCAATTGCCCCGTGTCCAACTGATATACACCCGTAGTAAGGATGTCGGCTTTACGTATCCAACGAGTCGATGGAGCGGTAGCAAGCATGTAGACTTTACGTATCCAATAAATCTATAAGGATGTCGATTCTACAAATTCAACGAGTCGGCGGAGCGGTATCGAGAAAGTTGACTTTACGTATCCAACGAGTCGGCGGAGCGGTATCGAGGAGGATTTAGGATGCGGTGCTTTTGACAGCGGTGTTCAAGAGGAGTTTCTGTCGGAGCCTTGGCTCTGTTCAGCGGAGTGCCTCGGGAGACTGCTTGCTTTCGAGGTTTTCGTGTCGTCTTTTATACATCGATTTCGATCTGCATCGGTTTTATTTTCCGCGTCCGGTCGGCGGTGTTTACATTCTCTTATATGTATCGCTAATCAAATATTCGTATCGATCCGTGGCTGTGTTCGCGGCTCGCTCTTTCGTCCGCGGACGGATCGTTAGAATTTTTTATATGCAATTCCAGATAGCACAGTGATGAATTGAAGTTCATAGAGAATTTTAAAGAATACCTAAAGAATTACAAAAATTAATATATAAAGAATTCCTGAAAAATTATCCGAGCCTAATTCATTCTAAAATATTCCTTGAAATTTCATTATAATGAATATTTCATGAATTATTACTTGAATCATACTCTGAGAATTCGTGAAAAATTACTATTATTATCAATGTTTCGAACGGCCCTAGGATGAGGAGTGGCCGGTTCGAATTGCTAGATGCGACTCGAGGTCCTCTCCTCGTCGCGTGAAGACCGCGGTCTTCGTCGCCGATAGTCCGCTATCCAGCGGCCCCGTGAGATGACGTGGGACGCAAGCGATTCTCGATCTTCCTAGGGAGGCGAGTATACTCGCCTCCGCTTGTCGTGGGTCGCCGACTCGGATTGAGCGAGCTGTCTCAATCGAGGCGGTGGCCCTGCGGTAGTTCACCGCTTCCAAGCGCCTCCGTGCTAGAAGTCCTCCTTGTCGGAGGGAAAATAATACTGTCGCGTGTGCGACGGAGACTAAGTCCCGATAAGTGTCGATTTAGTGGCTCGCGTGGAGGCTGCGCCCTGGCAGTAAGGTAAAGGCGAGTGGAGCTCGCCTGAGGGCTGCCCCTTAGCAGTGGCTAAAGCCTGATCTACGTGTTCTTTGGTTCCTGTTTTCTTTCTGTTTTTAGTTTAAGGTTTAAGGCTTGAGTCAGAAAAAGATAAAGTAACAGAAAGCAAATAACATATTATAGATTAAGCTTAAGTCTTGTGCGGACTTAGAAGCAAGCGTAACTCGTGTGTTGAGTCGCGTAAGCGACGCCGTAAAAATCTTGAGTCGACTTATAAGCGAACTTGGTTCGCATGAGTGCTGTGTCCCTAGCAGCGGAGCAATAGCGAGCGTGACTCGCGTGAGAGCTGCGCCCCTGGCCACGGAGCAATAGCGAGTGTGGCGAGCGTGAGAGCTGCGTCCCTGGCAGCGAAGGAGTTCTTGAAGAGAACGAAAACTTGCGCGGAGTCGTGTGCCCGAAAGTAAAGGCCAGAGCACAGACTTTTACATAACGCATAAGGCATAACGCATAAGAGAATCAGCCAATCAAAGTCCTTCCTTTCCATCCCCACTTCTCATTCTGAGGATCTTGTATAGTGCATAAAGCATAATGCATAAGAGGTCAAAAAATCCGTAAGAACGAATTCTTATGCGTTATGTAAACGACATGCGTCAGAAAACAGTGTCCGCCACATATGTTCTATGATTCCTAACCTATTATGTATGTACATCAATAAAGTTGATATATTATTAGTGCTTCATATACCATTCATATAACGTTATTAATTTTTCGGATTGTGTGTCCGAAGCCAAGAACAAAAAAGGTAATATAATATTAATATATATTTATGTTTGCGAATATATATAATTTGATATTTATATCTTACTAAATTATATATCAATATTATTAATATTTTATATCGATAGGGAAATGGATCATGATTCCTACTATTTTGATTCCCAATATCAAAATTATTATGATTCTGAAAATGAAAATGGAAATTTTTGTGAAGTAGGGAGTCAAAATGAAACAGATGGAGATGCTTTACTTAT